AACAGGACACAAAAAAATTACTTTTTTTTTTTACTTTCACACACTATAGAAGAAAAGGGCCGATTGCACGTTCTTTACGCTCGGTCGGCCGGCTGTTTTGTAGCACCCCCTATCGTGCATGCGTGTTTCTGAAAGCCTTACCCGGTCAATATGGCTTCGCAGCACTACTTGTGATTCCTCGCTGGCTGTGAATTTATACTGTATGACGTTTCTCCAGCAGCACACCCACGGATATATTTGCTAAGCGAGACTCTCCTGCTTTTTTTCGCTTTAATGCATTGTTCGCGAGCACAGCTAGCACACTCAATCCGAATTGTAGCAATGTGTTTTTTTTTCTTATGCCCTAAGGCGTCAGTCAGTCTACTTGGCTGAGTCAATGGAGACAAACAGAGCCACAACTGCCGTGTGCCTTGAGTAAATATAGGTATTTTCTTATTAAAGAAGATTCGTTGAATGTCAGCGCTTTCTTCGCAGTCATCGCCCTGCAGCTGGTTTCGCTTGCTTGTTGTGTATTGCGATGGATCGATACCAACCAGTCAAGCTAACGACACTTACGTTCTTTAGCCGTGCTTTTCGATTCGTTTCTGCAAACAAAGCCTGTCTAAATAGACGAAATCAAGTGTTTTGGGTAAAAGAAAAAAAAAACGTCATGCCAGCGCGTAAGGCGCAGCACAGACACAGCGAAAGCTAAAAGAGCGGCCTTTCAGAGGCTTTTCTAAACACTCATTGGGTAACTAGTGAAAGCACACTAGCTCGATACCCACTAGGGCATTAATGATAGTTTTTTGGGGGGTAGTAGGCTGGCATTCGCTAGGTTATCTAGATGCTTTACATTCATCCGAGAAGTGTGGTATCCGCTAAACACTTGAAAGAAATTATGTGCCAATTGTTCATGCAGTGGCTGACGACGATGGGGAATTATGTCTGAAGTGGGTATGCGCCCCAGTTAATAGGAGAACAAGAACAAGCTTTTCGAATGCAGTCGAGCACTGGATGATCCACTCGTTACGCTATTCGCTTTGTGCGACGACTGGTTGTTCTTTCGGTGTTGTAAAACGCTTTACAAGTCGTATTAACGCGATTGCTTTCCCGACATCAAGCCTGCTTAAGGCAAGTTTGCTAGAAAGTCCCAAACACCGGCGTAGCTCAGTGGTAGAAAACATGGCTGCCACCCAGCGGACCCTGGTTCGAGCCCCGCTGTGTCATTGGCACTGGGTCTTTTTCTAATTTCGTGTGATGTAGTTACGGACACCGGCGGCAGCGGCAGACAACTGTACGGTGGCGCGTGACCATAGTCAGGATCTCATAACAGCTGTCGCTGTAATAAAAGCTCGTCTGCTCGGGGAACGGTTATCTGTGGCTTAACAATCGGAGGTGCAAACTACATGGAAAGACGCGGTTGTGATACAAATTACAAATAAAAACAGAATAGATAGATAGACAGATAAATAGATAGATTTGGGTGGGTGGATGGATAAATGGATTACAACTCAGAGTCCCCGAAAGAGAGACAAAATTGCCCAGAATAAATTTCAAGAATTTGGCAGTATTAAGTGCGGATAATTTCAACGGGCCCACGCTGTGGTCCCTTGACGTAACGTAGGCGAAAATACATGTAAATTAGAAAAAAAAAAGGGGGAAGCACACCAAAAATAGAAAGATAGGGAAAGGAAAAAAATTATAACGAGAAATAGAAATAAATAGAAAGACAGAAAAAAATGAGAAACTGGAAAGCAAGAGAGGAAGACAGAGGTAAAGGTGGTTGCCCAGCTTCGCACCGCCTTAAGGCTTCTTGGTAGCACTATATAGAGAGAAGCTGACCTCATTTTCGTTTTTGTTTTTTGTGAATCGTGAATTTCTAAGTTCTCAGTTAACAGTATATTATGTACATTGGAAATTGTTTACTTTCGAATTAATAGTTCTTTAAAATTAATGTATCTCCATAATGTACAAAAAATCAGCCTGGTAGTGTTGTGGCCGGCTTTTGGAAAGCTGTCATAGTTTTTTCCTATTTCTAATCTGTAGTTGGAGTGGTTATCGTTTTCATAAACTCTGATTTCGAGATATATCCGGATCGCACACTTATCCGGCCCACTATCCATGATTTCCCCTGTGATACCTCCCAACACCGAATGCACGCTGGATGCCCCGCGCCGTATCACGTAACGTGGACCCTCAAAATCAGCCGGCAAGCCATGGCGAGGCCTAAAAAATCGCCGGCGAGGAGCCGCTTGCACTCGTTTATTGATCACGTTCCTCCACCGCCTCCCCCCCGGTCACCCCGACCAGCTGGTTCTGCGTCTGCGTGTCCAGCCATGGTTCCACGCTTATACTGCGAGCGCTATCCGTATAACTGCGCGACTGGTGTTTCCACGCGGAGATTAATATCGGCCGTGTTACCGTTGGGTGTAGCTTATTCGTACCATTTTTTGGTATGTCTGAAAAGAGTTGCTATAGATATTGCCCAGTGCGTTCACAACAAATGTGACTGGAACGCGCTACCGGCTTCTCTACATATTCATCTTTCTTGGATGTTTTTAAGCGTATAGCCGTTCGCCAACTTGAAGGCAGAATGTGTTGCGATGAAAGAACAAGATAAGGGTTAGAAAGAGATAAAGAGGAAGGCCGAGAAGTTAAGCAGATATTAGCACCCGATTTGCTACCCAGGCTGTCTGATCCCCCCCCCCCCCTTAGCTCACGTGGGTACCACCCTCAAGTTATGTTCCGTTAATGCACACGTTATGTCATAAAATTATAAACAATTTTACTGCGACCTAGCCTCCGCTTCTGTCAGATAGTGCACCCACCAGGTCGCCGTCACCCAATATAGATTTTTTTTTCTGACGTATGATAAAGGGACCTTGCAATACTTTTTTTTTAGATCAGTAAAAAAACGCTGCTTATCTGAACTTGAGGCGTGCTAGAACACGCGAGCCAAGCATTATAGTGCAGCACGTGACGTTGAGTTACAATTATCAAAGTCAGATAAACGTTGCTCGCTCTTATCGAGAAAGCACCATGTGCACTGAAATCCCATTGGCCGCTCTGAACATCGCGGTTGCTAAGTTACCATCACCGCCGCGGAATGACGTCACATGTCCGCGCAATGTCTCGCGATTACGCTTGAAGTTATAACCTGTGCCTTCCAAGAAAAAGGAAGAGGTTAAAGCCATTGCGTACCGTATGACCGTAATATTTGTTCGTAATACGACCGTAACATTTCTTCGTAACATGACCGTAATATTTTACCGTAATTGATTGATTGATATGTGGGGTTTAACGTCCCAAAACCACCATATGATTATGAGAGACGCCGTAGTGGAGGGCTCCGGAAATTTCGACCACCTGGGGTTCTTTAACGTGCACGCAAATCTGAGCACACGGGCCTACAACATTTCCGCCTACATCAGAAATGCAGCCGCATATTTGACCGTAATAATACCGTAATATTTGTTCGTGATATTACCGTTGATATGCGTTTGTAATATGACCGTAATACGTAATACTTGTTCCCGTTATGAGCGTAATATTTGTTCGTCTCACAGTCCACAGGATTCGCAAAATTTTCTTGAGAAACAACAAGATTTTCTTCTTATCCTGGTTCATTATCAATGACGTCGTATGAAAACAACGGCGACGTCATAAACTTAGCCCCAATCATCGTTTTGTCGTAAAGGATAACTACATCGCAGGCCTTCTTCAAGCTGACGGAAAATTCACGTGCGAGGCATTGTTTGGGTGGTCGCGGGATGAAATACCGCCCGCGATGGCTGCATTTTTTATGGAGGGCGAAAATGCTTCGGAGGCCGGTGTGCTTAGATTTAGGTGCACCTTAAAGAGCACCAGATAGTCGGAATTTTCATAGCCTTCTATTACGGCGCCTCTCAGAATCTGGCGGTAGTTTTGGAACGTTTAACACTTATTATTATTATTATTATTATTATTATTATTATTATTATTATTATTATTATTATTATTATTATTATTATTATTATTATTATTATTATTATTATTATTATTATTAAGTATTTCATTTGTTTCTTTCTTGTTTAAGCACTTCTCTTGGGTATATAATTATTTCTCATGGCATCCCGTTTCAAGCTGGACTGCGGCTTTCATGTACTATTTATTTAACTTTAGTTTGTATACATACCAATTTCTGCAATATTTAGTGGGCGGAGTTCTGGCGCTGCCATCGTTCAGCCTTCATGGGAGGGTTGGGTACCACTTTGATTCCCTAAGGTTCGTGCCTATGGCTTACTTGGGTACCACTTTGATTTATCCAAGGTTCGTGCCTATGGCTTACAACGCACTTGTAACGTTTTCCTATTATTGTTGCGACTTTTATTTTGTATAAAAGACTGGCTCGTCGCGAACCTCGGCAGCTCATCAGAATCGTTCAGCTTTAGTCTGAACGATTCTGATGAGCTCGCACATTGCTGAACCACTGAGGCCAGAAGTTGCAGTGCTAAACCTTTGCCGACCTTCGAGTTGGCATAAAGTGGCTGCAGGTCTAACGGAGTCGAAAGAGCGGAGCTTAGGCAAATCCATCTGCGGGTCATCATTTGCCGGGTAAATCGCCATGAGTTGCACCTCCTATTGACACAAGCGTCACAATTTCTTCATTATGAAACTCTATTACCTGTATATGTGTACAAAGACCAGTATTCCCACAAAGAAACGCTCTTGCGCTGGAAACATTCGTAAAAGTGAAATCCAGCCAGTTGCGGCAATGCGCTTCCCCTTAGTTTCCTCGCGCCCGCGCATTTCCCTCTCACCTTTCTTTTTCCTCCTCACTCTCGTTTTTCCGCGTGTCCACCGCCACGCGGCTCTGCGTCGGCGCCCGCGTGCAAGCGCCGCTACTCTCTTTTTACTCCGCTTCCTTTCCTTCTGTCACTCGCGTACTCTTTCTTTCTCTTCTCTCTTCCAGCCGTTTCCTTTTGATTCGCTCCTTCTCTCCGCTCCGGTGGCCAGTTTGCTTTGAACACGGCGGCAGCTGGCTCGGTCCTCCAGTCGCACGAGTGCAATCGCCAACCGCGGTTGCTCTTACTCGGGTTGTCCGTACTCTACTCTTTCACTCCGGTCGCGTGTCGCGCGATTCCTTTCGCTTTAGAGTGGGGACTACTCCTAGTGAAGCAAGCCGTTCTCCTGGGCGCCGCCGGTGCGTACCAGTGCGAGTAGACGCTTACGAACTGTACATAAACCTCCCCGGCAAAAAACGTGCCTCGTCGTCTTTTCGATTGCCGACGGCGGCGCGGTGGTGGATTCCGCCGGCGCCGCCGCCGAAATTGACATTGCCCCGCATCGGACGTCGTTGACATGGCCGTGATTGATACTGACGACGTAGTCGTGCAAGTGGCCCCTTCGTTGTCCTCGGCAAAGACGGCAGGAAGAAGAGTAATCGGTTACCGGTGTTGGAATAGCCGTCGCTGCAGCACTTCCCGCGAACCGCTGCTGATTCTTCTTCCTCGGCGTGTCGTCGTCGATCAACGACGAGATCATCCGACGTGGGGAATTGACGACGACGACGGGTCGTGCGTCAACTGTCACTGTTGCCGAGAACGGGACGACAAATTCGTCGAGAGGTGAGCCCGGTTTCGTTGTTTCCGGAACGGGAGCCGAAGTGGCCCGTTCCGAAAGTTCGTTTCGCAGGGTGTACACAGCCCACGGTTTTAATCCCGGTCGCATGTAGATGGAAACGGAATGCTGGAGGACCGTAATGCTGTGCGATCTTAGTGCGCGTTCAATGACACTGGAAATTCTCAATTTCTGCAGAGACCTTTACCGCGACATGTCTTACAATCATAACGCAAAGTTTGTCAAGTAAGACCCTGCAAATTATATCATTAAGTTGGCATGCCACCATCAGAGGCGTGTCGTTAAAGTACCGGTCGATTTCGCGCTTGAGGTGAATGAAAGCATTTACTTGTTGGCGATTTGACGTAATTGATATAACAGGTGGTCCAAAAAAACACTTATAATAAACTAAACAAGAACGGAATAGATAGAACAGTTGTCGTTACAGGTGCAAGATAATGACGCTTACAAAACGGGGCCACAGTACGTGAAAAAGTAAACGAAACAAGAAAAGGTAGGATGCTGGATTGAAATATACGGGTATGAGACAACACATGATTGCAAAAGACGAGTTACGTGAATGCTGGGTCTAGCTCCGTTTCAAGCGAAGTACCAATAGATAACCCCATTGTCAGTGCTAAAAGCAGCATGAAATTGTCGGCACGTTTTTTTTTTCTGTTACCCAGCAATAATTCTTTTTCGCTTCGTGCGTAGGAGATTAACCAGAGCGACCAAACACTTGCTCTCATACACTTGATTGATTGATTGATTTGTGGGGATTAACGTCCCAAAACCACCACGCGATTACGAGAGACGCCGTAGTGGAGGGCTCCGGAAATTTCGACCACCTGGGGTTCTTCACCGTGCACCCAGATCTGAGCACACGGGCCTACAACATTTCCGCCCCCATCGGAAATGCAGCCGCCGGGATACGAACCCGCGACCTGCGAGTCAGCAGCCGAGTACCTTAGCCACTAGACCACCGCGGCGGGGCTCTCATACACTTGTCAGTTATATGGAGCTCTTGGCAGCTACCTTTCATATTTTAAGTCACCGATGGAGTTCGGGGCGTTGCGATGCGGCAAATAATACAGTAAACTGTCCGCCGTAGTAGTGTGGCGGTTACGGTGATCAGCTGCTTACGTGAATGTCGTGGTTTCGATCCCGGATGCGGCGGTCGCATTTCGACGGAGACGAAATTCTTGAAGCCCGTGTACTGCGCATTGCCAGCGAGCGTTGAAAAACACTAGGTCGACAAAAGTTTTTCGAACCTTCCTCCGCTGTGTCTCCCGTATTGATATCGTCGTTTTTGGACGTAAAACCCCCTATCTTACTATTAGCAGCACAGTATAAAACATATCCTTTGCGGTACCGTGCGCTCAGATTTGGGTGCACGTTAAAGAACCCCCAGGTGGTCGAAATTTCCGGAGCCCTCCACTATACGGCGTCTCTCGTAATCATATGATGGTTTTGGGACGTTAAACCGCATATCGGTCAATTATTCCTTGCGTTAGCACTTTTGTACGCTTATCTCACTGGATAGGTATAAGAAAAGAACAGGGATAATAATGAAGGTAGAAATCATGATATTTTTATTCGTTTATTAGATTGATAAGAAATATCAGTTAGCTGCAGTGGCGGAGCATATCAGTCTAAAAATTTATTCAAGCAGATCTGTGACCCTGTGTGCTGAACTTGTCTGTAAATTACTTTTCCCGCAACAAATCGGCTTCCAACAACCGCTGCCCCCTACCGCGCATTGACAGGGGCGTAGGCGGAAATTTTTTTCGGGGGATGGGGTGAGCGCATCTTCTTGATCTCAAGTGGGACCGAGGTCGTGAAATTCAATCATAAGAGTAAATAAATTACTTTACTCGTTATTTTCGTAAAATCTGCCAATATTACAATAGAAAATACACCTGACCAAAAGTAGTCACTTACAATACTAATAATGTTGAGAAGTACTGAAATTACATTGAGATTAATTTATTAAACGATTCATTATTCATTCACTACTCACGTACGCTTTATTTACAGTGCACATACATCGAAATATCAGACTCCAAATTCTCACGCTTGAAGATTGGCGCTCAGACTAACTTGTATCGGTTAGTCTTATTGCGTTTTTGAAGGTCATGGGATCGAATCCCGGCTGCGGCGACTGCATCTTCGAGGGCGGCGAAAATGTTGAGGCGTGTGTACTCGGAGTTAGATTACGTTAAAGAACCCCAGGTGGCCGCAATTCGCGGGGCCCTCCACTACGGCGTCTCTCGTAATCATATGGTGGTTTTGGGACGTTAAGTCCCAGATATTATTATTATCTTATTGCGTTTTGTGGTCAATGATTTCATGCCATAGGAGAAGTGAAAATGTTATATCTTGGTGAGAAAGGTTAAGAAAGTAATGAACGATTCTTTCTTTCAAATTACTAGTTTAAAATAATTCGTTACATCAGAAATATTTTCGGTTCACAAAAGCGATCAAGCACGTTATTTATTATAGTAAACGAAAGTAGGAAAATTGTAACGGCTCGTTTTTTTTTTTGTTAGACACAATATGAGTTGGAACAGACAATTATGTCAAGGAAGCTATGGGGGTACGTTATTTGTAGCAATTTATGGTACAAATGTGAACAAAGTGAAAATGACGAAAAGACAACTTTCCGCCGGCAAGGATCCAACCTGCAACCTTCGTATCGCGCGCCCGTAACACGAACAGGCCGAAAAAAGAGTGTTCCGCACTCGGCCGCCATGGGTAAGGTCGGCGCTGACTAACATCCCAAAGGTTTAAATGCAGTAGTGTATACCTAATGATGTGTACGGGAAATGACCGCCGCGGTAGATCATTTGTCAAGAGCGTCAGACGCGTAATTCGAAGGTGGCAGGTTCGGCCCCTGCTGGCATCAAGCTAACTGTTCATCGACTTCTCTTTCTTCACATTTATATAATAACTACAAGCACTAACATCCCCTCTACTTTCCTTGACGTTAATGTTTGCAAGTTCTCAACAATACTATAGTAAAACGTAATTTAATTTTTTTTTCTAATCTCTCAAGTATAATGTGTTCGCTAAATAGTCTGGGTTTTCAGGCTTACTAGGCAATATAGGAAAGCTGAGCAGCGGCACCAGCCTATCGCGACGGCCTCCGCCCACGCCACCTGCCTGCCCATAACGTCAATTACCCGTTAGCTCGCAGACTGCGAGGAAAGTCAGTAGGTAGTTAACAAACGAAAACGTAGGTGGGGCTGCATGCTCAAACACTGCTTGTGCGAAGTGACGACTCTGTGTGCACGCGTGGGTGCACTTTACGCTGAACAGGGAAGTTTCTGGAACAGTGTCACAGAGTTTCCTCTTTCCGTGCGCGTCACTCTTCTCTGCAGTGTGTATACCGTATACGCCCACGTTAGTAGAACGTCCCGGAGGACTTCGAATGTACCGTGCACACTGAAGTTTAGGGCAGCAACACCGCGATGACTTCTGTACGAGCCGGGGTGTCGGTAGTATAGGGAATCTATCGATCTCAGCCAGAGGCTGACGACGTATACTTCAATGAAACCAGGAGAACGAAGCGAATGTTACTGCAGCTTCGCACTATAGTGGCGCCAAGCGTAGAAGTGTCGAGGAGGGCGGCGTTCTTTGGTTCGCTTTTTTTTTTCTTTCTTCTCTCTTTCTCGTTTCCCCGTTATCCCTGTTTTCTGTGCCTTTTCTTATCTGTTTACTGCTATTGATTGCTCCCTCTCCCTATTTCTTTTTCTTCTTTCTGTGTCTTTCTTTCCCTCGCTCATTTTCTTTTTCTCTCTTTCTGTATTTTTTCCCTTCGTTTATCTTCGTTCTCTCTTTCTCTTTGTTTATATGCTACGCTTTCCTTTTCCCTCACCCTCGCGTTCCCTTCCCTTGCACCTCGCTCTATTGTATTATACAAGGCTCCACCAGCGTGACTAGATTGGCGAGAGGTGAAGACGCTCGCCCTCGAATCGTGGGTGCACGGGTTCGAGTCCCACCTCGGCGATTTGTTATACCGGTAATTCCTCCTTCCGTTTCTTTTGTTCTGTTTCTTTCCCTTTCTCTCTCTCTCCCGCTGTTCTCGTTCTTCTAACTTGCGAGAGTTTCACGTCTGACAATCGGCGCCCGTGTTCTGGTAGCGAAGCGGAAAACGAAGAAGAGGTCAATGAGATTGCTGGCCGGCTCACGGCGATCCCGTTCTCTGTTGACGGCGAACGGATTAACTAAAAGCTTAACTGACCCGCTGTAAAAGCTGCCGAAACGACCAAATTTACGGATCTTCCACGCAAGTCGCATAAGTCTTCACGCAAGAGTTTCCCGCAAGCCGCATAGTCCTCCCGCAAGTCTCATTGTCGCAAGTCACGCAAATTAGTATCGAGCAAGTCCCGCATATAGTCTTCACGCCTGTCGCATCGGCACAAGTCGATAGTCTCATAGTCTTGACGCAAGTCAAGTCGTCACAAGTATGTCACATAGTTTTCGCGAAAGTCATATCGTCACAAGTCGCAAGTTACGTAGTCTTCACGCTAGTCACAAGTATGTCACATAGTCTTCACGAAAGTCATATCGTCACAAGTCGCAAGTTACGTAGTCTTCACCCAAGTCACGTCGTCACAAGTATGCCACATAGTCTTCATGAAAGTCATATCGTCACGAGTCGCAAGTTACGTAGTCTTCACCCAAGTCACGTCGTCACAAGTATGTCACATAGTCTTCACGAAAGTCATATCGTCACGAGTCGCAAGTTACGTAGTCTTCACCCAAGTCGTGTCGTCACAAGTATGTCACATAGTCTTCACGAAAGTCATATCGTCACAATTCGCAAGCTACGTAGTCTTCACCCAAGTTACGTCGTCACAAGTATGTCACATAGCCTTCACGAAAGTCATATCGTCACGAGTCGCAAGTTACGTAGTCTTCACCCAAGTCACGTCGTCACAAGTATGTCACATAGTCTTCATGAAAGTCATATCGTCACGAGTCGCAAGTTACGTAGCCTTCACCC